TGGGAGCCTGCTGCATGCAGCTGGGGGATCCAGCAGAGTGACTTGTCATAGGAAGAGCTGCAGTTGTTTCTGGAGTCTTGGCCCCATGTTCCCTGATTAGCACAGCAAAGATGCGTTTCCAAAGGCTTTGAGCTATTTTTATTTCTTTATGCATCTGTGTCCTCTCCCTAAAGTGGAGCTGTAAGGCAATGGCCCTGATTCCCATTTGGATTAGAAATGCTAATGCTGCCTTTCCTTGCACGCACCAGGAAAGGGCCTTCCCTTCTGAAAGAGAAGGGCAGAAAATACCTGTGGCTGCGCACTTGGGGAACACGCGTTTTATTTTGAGAGGAAAAAAAATCTCACTTCAAAATAAGATCAGTAGAGGAGTTCTTAAGACAGCCTGCTGCCTGAAAGGGTCTCCATGCAAAAGGCAAAGCCCTAGGTCTGCTTTCTGGTCCATTTTCAGCTCTGTTTTTAGGAGGAGGTCAGCTGTTTTCTGCACCAGACTCAAGTGAAATTGCTATTTAATTATTTTTTTTTTTTTTTTTTTTTTTTTTTTACAAACAAATTTGATGTAGTGTCAAATCCTTCCTTTCTGTTGAGCTGATAGGCCTGATGTTGATTAAGGGGACTTTCTTGTTAGCAAGGGGGTTTGCCCTGAACCCAAACAAGAATTTCCTCTGACCTCAGGCTGGGCTGAACATGGGCGTGTGCTCACGGGGACACGGCCCTTGGGGACCCACGGGATGGCTTCTGTTGGCAGAAGTCATTCTCCTGAGACTTCGGAGCGGAAGAGCAAGGATTGCGGTTGAGGAAGCAAAGCCCCAAACATCACGTTCCAAGGGGAGTTTAAGCAGCTTCACCTTGTTTAGTGACAGCTTTGGAGTGGGGAAGGAGGTAAAAGATCTGCCAGAAATGTTGGACTCCAGCTCTTTGGCAGTCAGCTGGTAGTTACATTTGCAGTTTGTGCCTGTAGCCAGGAGTTGTGCAAGGTGTGAAGCCTGTCCTGCCTCCAGGCCAAAATCACTACTGCCTTTTCAGGGGGAGAGCAACTGGAAGTGAACAGTGTGATTTCCAGAGGGATGACTTACAGACACAGAAAGGAAAGCAGCATTCAGGAGAGAGCAGAATGGGCAACACTAGGGGTTTATTATAGCTGTATCCTTGATAAATGGTCCTGCCTCTGAGCTGGGCCCCTTAGGAAGTCAGGATTCCTCTGCAGTTTTTCTGTAGCTTCATTTGAAATGCCTGTTTTCCATTAACTTTGTCCAGGTTCCAGCTGTCAGTACTGATTTGTGCTATTCCAAGTATTTTCTTTCTCTTGAGAATTATGTCCCTACAGTATTTGAAAAAAATTTTTGATATACACACAAAATTATGGGTTTTTTAAATGTTGCTTTTATCTTTCTTGAGCCTTTTGAATTACATCATTCCTGTGAGTTACACAGTGTTATATTTCATGCCTAAACAATTGAATACTTTAAGGAAATACTGTAGATGTTTCAGAGTGCTGGCACAAGAGCTCTGCCTCGTGACTGTAGAAGCAGAGATGATTTTCTGCAGTACATTTCAAACATTCCCCTGCTTGTTTCGTATGAACTCGTATGAATTTATAGTGGGGACTTTCCAACCACCTCCAGTTGTGCTCTTTGCTAGTGTTTTCAGGGTTTCTATGGTGCAGTGAAATGCCAGCTACAAAACTGAAAACACTTTGCAGTTCACACTTAAAGTTTGTTCCAAACCTGCCTAACACAGTGCTTGCCTGCAGTAGGGGGAGAAGCTACCGCAGGGTGCTGCAGCTCCTGCTTTGTGTCACCTTGTCTGGGAGGGCTCAACTCGGTGGTGGCTGACGTTTTCCCTGGGTTTACATCAGGCCCATGTGCACAGGGGACCCTCTCATCCCTTCCTGGAGCGCTGTCAGCAGTGTGTGTGTGTGTGTGTGTGTGTGTGTGTAGAACTGGCATCTAAAAGGCAGCGAGATTGTGGGCAGGCGTCAGTCAGACATGGTCCCTCTCCACAGAGCTGTGGAGGCAGCTCAGAGAGGAAGAGAAGTGGGGCTGCAGCTGGGCTGACAGTCCTGCTCCTGGGTGCATCTGAGGAGGTCTTGTGTATCTCCCAAGTGATGCAAGACACTGCTCGAAACGGCCCCAATTCCATCTTAGGTAATAAAGCTTGTATTACCAGGCAGCATTTTAGTGTGGATGCTGTGCCTTTAAACAGTTTCTCTGCCATGCTGAATGACTTTGAAATTTGCTTATTCCATAATTAAAAATCTCTGGGAAGCCCTAAGTCCCTGTCTGCTGGTTCAGCTTCTCCCTGCCTGAGGCAGGACAGTTCAATAAATAATCAGTCTTTCCTACAGCTGCTGCAATGATAACTTCTTTCTTACAGAAAGGATAACAAGTGAAAGAGTGAAGCAGGAGCACTGAGGCATCAAACTGACTTAGCTGAAGGAAGAGTCAAGTCCAGAGGCCAGTGTCAGGCTTTGTCCCTGTGGCTGATGTTTGCTGCTGCAGTTTTACATAAATCTGGCAGAGCTGCACACACCATCTTGGCACACACGAGAGCCTCACAGCTACTGCTTGCTGCCAGGGATGGTTTTCAGGAGCAGAACCAGGATAGTTGCAAAAGCACTGCCTCTTTCTTCCACTAAAAGTAGGAACTAAAATAGTGGCTCCCAATTCTACTGCAACAGGGGCAGAGGGTAAGGGAGGTCTCAAACTTGCTGGTGTCTAAAGTTGGGCCTTGTCAGCTGAGGCAGCATTTCTCCACTTTCACCCTGGAGCTAGAAAAATGTGGGTGAAGACAAGGAGAGAGGTGATCCCATCTGAGCAGAGAGCCACAGAAGTAACTCAAGCAGCAGGATTTTGGGCAGGTTGGTGAAACTGCTGTAGTGCATTTGTGGGGACATAAAGCCCCGGGGTACAAAGGACTGGGCATAAGAAGCGCTGTGCTATCAGTGGGGCTTACGCTCCTGGTTGTGTTTATGTGTCCAAAGGTGCTATAAAATGAAAGTGAGAGGCAGCAGTATCTGTTGTACACTGTTTATTTTTCATGTGGAGCTTGGCTGATAAATAGGACTGAATTAAAGGAACACTCATGAAAAATAAAACCCAACCATGACTCAGAAGTGCAAAATTGCCCTCCACGTGTCCAGAGACAATGAGGTTCTGGTTTGCTGGAGAACAGCACATGGATATTGGTGTCTGTACCAGCAGGGCAAAGGCTTCAGCTTATTGATATCCTAAATGAGAACGGATGTCTGGTACAGTATATGGCTTTGTCACTGGGTAGCCACCTGTGACTCTGAGAAACAGCTTCTGTTTAGAAGAGGTCACTGGTGAGTTTTTCTCCAGTTCCTATTTACAAGTCGTGGTGCTGTCTTCCACTCAAACCACTGAACAAGGGCTGCTGAACAGTAAGTGCTATGAAATTAAAACAAAAAAAAACAAACTGTAAAAGCGAAGAACAAAAACCTGCCCACCTCCATTGCATTTGGACATGGCTCATCATATAAACAGCACCAGTAGAGAGCAGACGGTTCTCATGGTGGAGGATTGGTTTGTGATGGGAAGACTTAAGACTTGCAAAGGATCAGAAAAACTAACAAGTGCATCCCAAGTATGAAAATACAGTAACAGGTTGCCTAAGGCTGAGAAAGGTCTTAATTGCATCGTCCCATCGGGCACACAGCTGTGGCAGCTGAAGTAGCTGTGGCTCTCCCTTTGCACTTTGACCCTGCTCCCTGCTCATCTCTTTTTGCAGCTCTGTGAAGAAGGAACTAGCTTGAACTCCAAGGACAAAGTAAACCACGAGTTATTATGTACTCAGTCTTGTGGTAGTCCAAGAAGTGTCTGGCAAAACGTTGCCAAAGGAAAATCGGATACCCCGTAGCGGGGAATGGATGGAAGCTGTAGGGAATGAACGGAGTGTGGGGCTGATGTGGTGCCTGGTACAAGGGTCTGTAATTTACCTGCCTGGAAAAGTGTCTGGAAGGGAAGAAGTAAAAGGAGTTTTAGGACCTACTGTATCATTCACTGAGGTAAGGATAGCCTTGGGGGGACTTCTGCCAGCAGGTACCACTGCCCCGTGTGCTCAGGTACTTGGGCATCTTGTTCTTTCCCAAGAGCTGCTTGGAGCACCCCCTCTCCCAGCGTTTCCTGTGCTGCCTGTGCAGGGAACCAGCAAAGCGCTGACTGGTGCTGCCCGCAGCAGCCTGCATGTCCTCATGGGTTTGAAACTCCAGGCGGCAGTGACACAGCAGCGATTCTGCTGCTGTGACCCCCTGCCCACGGTGCCCAGGGTCTGTGCCCACAGGCTGCCGGTGGGACAGGCAGTCGGCAGCTCCCTTCACCTCGCTGCCCTGGTCCCGCAGCGGGCGCTGGGCTGGAGAGCAAGCCCGGCAGCTAGATGGCACCGTTGCTTTGCAGCCCAACCACTGGTGTGGGCTGGGTGTTTCCTGCGTTTTTCTGAGCTGTGGGGCAAGGTAGCCTTGGGGGCTGGGTGGGGGGTCCCCGTGCCCAGAAATCCTGCAAGTCTGCAGCCACCTCCCCAGGTGCCGGCTGTGGGATGAGATGGTGGAGTTGGATGTCAGGCAGGTCTGGCTTTGCCAAGCTGGAAGGACATCAGCTAGGGCATCGAGGGGAAAGCTTCACTCATGCTACACTTTCTGTGGTTCTGCTTGGGGCTGTACGGGTGTCACAGATGGAAAAAGAAAATCCCCATGCCTAATCCTGTTTAAAAGATTTCCATTGTTTTTTCCAACTTTTTTTTTTTTTCCATATTAGGGTAGAGGAATGGCCTCAGGACCCCTGCGAGCACAGGGTGTCTGTGAACACATCTTGTTTATAGAGTTGGAGAAATTGTTTAACCAGCCAAGTAACATGTGAGGACAGCAGCACTGTCATGCTCATTGTTTGGTGACCTGTAGCAGGGAGCAGGAGGGTTTCCTAGGAGGCCATGTCCTGAGGCCTTGGGATCCCATGTGTGTGTTTTAGCTTTCACCAGTAAAAATCACCAACATCTTCAAACTATCTATTTCCTACAACAACACATTCCAGCTAGGGGTGTCTTTTCATTTACTTTCTTGCCTCCAAAGCATAAAGCCAGGGAGCACAACAGAAGTTACCAGGTAGCTGTTCAGGCACTAGGAACATGGGGGAGCAATTTGATAAAGCAAGTACAGCCTGACTCTTTACATACACCCCTTGTGGAGGCTTGGTCAACAAGCAGCATTCAATAGCTTGAATATATTTAGGGGATTTCCACCAACTCAGTTGGAGACCTCTCCCTTTCACTGGCATGGTTTGGAGTCTGGGGCAGATTTAATTTAAAAAGAAAAAAAAGTAAAATTGTTTCCCTTTTCTGAATGTATTTGCTGCAGCAATGCCATTTCTTCACATGCCAGAAGAGCTCGAGGTTAGCAGGGTCCAGTACAACTGCATCTTCTCCATCCACGGGCCACAGCCGTTGCGTGCCTGCGTGCTGCGTCTGGCTCGGGAGCTGACAGGGCTCGTCCCGCCAGCCCCACTCAGTGCGGAGCTCCCCGCCGCCCCGGCCTGGCCGCAGCAGCTGTAAGCAGCGAGACATGGGCAAAAACTTGTACAAAGGTGTATGCTTTTCTGTCAGGCCCCAGTACTGTGTCTGGCAAGCACTGCTGGCCGGGCCTCCAGGCACCGTGAGGGAGTGTGGATGGGATAAGCACTTCCTGAGATCTCCCTTGCTGTGCTCCAGTCTTTTCAGCATCTCCCAGAGCACGTTCCCTGCTGTCAGAGATACCAGAGATGTTCCTCACGCTTCTCCCCATCCAGCAGCTGAGTTCAGAGCTTGTTCTTCTGTCTCATGGTTAAAAAAATATATATTTTACTTTTCATCCTCATCTCCCTCGCTCATGCTGCTGAGGGAGGCAGAGGGAGCTTTTGGAGAAGAGGGAGGGGAGGCTTTATTGAAAACCCAGGGTGGAGATGGAGAGCGGGATGGAGAACGGCCTCGTGTAGGACTGCTGTTTGGGCTCTGCCGGGGAGAAAAAGCCTGGAGCATTCGGCCACTTCGTTCCTGGAACATCTGCTTCTGTAAAAGCACAGTGAAAAGACGCTCTTTGAGTAATGCACAGAGGGGAAGGTATGTCTGTGGGCATGCAGGGGCTGCGCTGCACCTCTGACCTGGGAGAGAGCAGGGAGACAGAGGACAGACCCGCTAGCACGTGTGGCCAGTTCACCTCACATTTGGCCTTTGCCTCTTCTACTGTGCTTGTGATAACCCGTTCTTTATATGACAAGGTTTTTTCTTTGATCGGACACCCTCAGTGTGTGCATTGTCCTAAGCCAGCTAGGGGGAGCTCCCTTTGGATTTTTTTGTATATGTTGGTCACACTCTGCGCATCGAAGAGTCAGTTTTCTGCCTGAACTCCCAATGTTCCTTGTTCCCAGGACCTTTCCCTTTTAGTGTGCTGGAATGGACCACCCAGCTCCTGCTGAGCCTCCTGGCTGGCCCAACCTTCTTTCCTCCTTCCCTTCTCAAGAGAGGCAACCACTTCCCCAGCTACCTGGAGCAGGCACCACCCAACCCCTTAAACTGGGCCTAAGAATGTCAGAATGCAGGCATCTTTGCTGAAAAGAGAAACACGTGCAGCCTCTATGTTCTGCTTTGGGCTTTATTGTCATTTTTTGCTTTGTAAAGCTGAGTGGAGGCCAGCCAGCGCTGGTGGGGTGGAAGAGGCCACCTTTTCTATCAAGCAATCTGCTACACTAAGGCAAACGCTGCTACTCATTAGTGCCTCCGTGACCTTGCATTAGGCTGCCGGGCTGGGTTACAGGAGATCTGGTGCATACTGTGTGGCTGCTGCAGGCTTCACGTGGAAAATGCCAAATGCGACTGCCTCGCTGTTCCTCCTGGGGCTGGGGAACAAGTCTCAACCTTGGCTGGAGTACTGGGAGTTGGGTCACAGGGGATGCTCGGCTGGAACAGAAGAGCCAGCCCAAAGTTAGTTAAGTTGTTGCTCAGGTCTGAGAGCAAAATACTTGTGCAGAATTGTATTCTGGGTTTGCCTGCTTGGGCACCTGCAGTCCACAGACTCTCAGCTTGAGTTTTTGTTTTATTCCTCTTTCCCTTTCCCCTACAGCAACTCTGCTTTGTGATGATACTCCTCCCAGCCAAGGAGCATGTGGCTGCCCACCTTGCTCTTCCTTTCCCTCTTTGAAACTCAGCGTTCACTGCCAGTATAAATTCTCCCATCAGAGTTCTGGTGTTGGTTAATCCTGGCCATTAACCACTGAGCACAAATACTAAATGTAACTGTTCCTCTGTAAACTCCCTCACCCAGTTTATAACTTCATCACACTGGCCTTTATTAAGCTTTAGAGCCTGCATGTTGCTGCAGTGCAGAATGAAAGAACAGTTCCCTCCTGGAGCCACGCTTAGCCCTGCTTTCGTGCATAAAGCCCCATGGCGTGTAACCTACCTCTGCACTACTGCTAGGTCCAAAATAGTCACGACTTCCTAAAATCTCAATAGTTAGCAGATGGTGGTTGCTCCTGATAAATGGTGCCAGGAAGCATTTGGATGGGGGGAGGTTTGGGCTGCTGAGAGCCATGAAGATGTCACCAAGGCTGGCAAAGCCCCGAAGCCTGTTGAAATTCAGTGGTAGGAGTGCAAAATTTCCTTTAGATCACAGAAACCGAGGTTTTGTTGGCTTGACTTAGTCTGTTTCATCCTCTCACTGAAGATAACCCCAACAAAAAAAATGTTTGGTATGAAATATCTTTTTCCTGGTCAAGTAAAACACACTGCCTCCCTCCTGCCCCTGGTGCCTTATCAGCCACTTCAAAAAGCTGAGTCACATTGTGGTGCTTCCCGGCGGTGTGCCGGGAGAGACTGAAGTGGTCCAGCTTGGCCCGGTATTCCCTGTGCCAGGGGGTACTCAACTGTACCTTGGGCCACAGAGGCCAGGGATGGAAAGGAGAATCCCACCTTCCTGCTAAGTCCTGCAGCCAGGCTGCAGGACACCCACTTCCCAGTCCCTGCTCCAGCAGAGTCTGTTGCTTGAACAAGCTGGTGTGCTCACACCTTCAGCAAGGAAGTGCCTGGCCCGTCCCAACTGTCTCCTGTGTTAGTGCTTTAACCAGTAGGCTGCTGGCCAAAGCCACAACTGCTGCTGGAGGAGGTGGTGGTATAATTCATCTGCCTCCAGAATGATTCTTCCCTTCTGGCTGTGCTCTAGCAGGGTAAGCCCTACCCTTCGTAGGCAAGGGCTTCCTATCGGGGGGGTGCTCCTCAGGCCACTGGGTGCTGAAGAAGTAGAACAAGTGCTAACAGCTTCCTTGAAGTGCTGGGGTTAGACAAGACTGGGTACACTCTGGACCTTTACTAGAGATGGGAAAATAATTTCCAAGCCTTGGTTCAAGCAAGTTCAGGCACGCCCAACCAGTTTAGGGAGATAATGCTTTGCTTTTGACAAACTTGTTACTGGGTGAAAATATTTTGCCTGATTCTGAATTTGATTGCCTACATGTTGACACTCCTTTGCTTTACAAAACAAGTGCTAGCTGGTGTTACGGAGCACTGCTGCTTTTGAGCTGCTGATTCTTTCAAGGCCGTGCTCAGGTCCAGGCTGTGGGGACACGGTGTGGGCTAAACGGTGTCCCTGAGTTCTGGTTGCAACCTGTAAGATCTACCTGAGCCCCCACTGATGTCTGAGGTGATGCAGCTGTTTCCTGGTGCAGCTGCCCCTGACACCCTCTGTGCACTGAACAGAAGGAAGCCGCCCTTCCTTCTGTTGTCTGAAGGAACACTTCTGAGGCACAGAAACCCTGCTCTACTGTCAGCTTTGCTTTCTCTCTGCTGACCTGCACTGCAGCTGCCTGCTTGTATGTGTCTGAGGAGGTAGGATGAACCCCGCTGCCTTCTGCTTCTGTGGAGCAGCGTCCCTGCCATTAGGGCCTCCGTGCTGGGCTGCTTGGTGGTCCTTCACACCAGAACAAAAGTTTCATGCCACATTAATCATTGTTTCTGACTCCTCTGTGACACTCTTGCAGAAAAAATACATAGCGGGGATTGCACAGGTGGGCAAAATTGCTGATGAATTATAGACATCTTGACATTTGAAAACTGACATTTTGACCTTTTTCACAAATGGGCATTTTTTGTGGGTTACATGGCCCTTACTTTTAGAAAATTGATGCTAGCATAAAGCATATTATAATAATTATTTGTGAAATAATAATAGCATATTAATGGCATGCAAATTACTGATCTAGGAATCCAGCATGCCCATAATGATTCCTGTACTTTTAATGTCAACATTAAAAGCAACATCTAACTAACAGTGATAAGGTAAATTAATGTTAATAGCAGTTTTGCCACTAATAGCAAGTTATCATTATTTTGAAAGTCCTTCCTGTTGCCAAGGCTCAAACTGATTTCAAAAAAGCCACACCACCTCTCAGCTCGCTGTCACCGATGCTTTTCCTACAACACTGTGAGGAGGCTTCACTCCTGTTTTCTTAGCAAAGGTCTCTGTCATCGCACCAGATTTCCTACTCTGTGGTCAAACACTAACTCAGGAAACAGGCAATACCCAGCTCCTGAAGGACCTTTGCATAGCAGCTTTTCTCTAATTGAATTTGGTGAAATGTTTTATCAGCAAAGGGTTTTTAAAAATGCCATTAGTATGCAGTGCTGAGTAGATAGAGCCAGGGAATGGGATCAAGGCTTTTAAAATCTTCCTTTCTTTATACAGCCAATATCATCTCAATTTCTGTGGGTTTCATGCACTCTGGTATGATCAGTTTTATTTATTCAGCACCTGTGGCCACAGGACCATCCCACATGGGGAACACTTGCCAAGCTCTACAATGCAGGTAAACCTGGGCTTTTTATCAGAAGATTTACCCTCTTCCCCTCCCCAAGGAAAATCATACAATCAATGAACAAACTGCTAAATAAGTTATTTGTTTATACAGCTGGATCCAGTGTTATTCAGAGAGCACCTGCCTATGCATGTTAGAGACATAGCTGTAAGAAGATTATAAAGATGCAGTCTCTGTTCTGAAGCCTTCACAGCCGAATTTTAGGCTTTTCTCAACCGAGTGGTAATCAATACAGCAAACCGTGCCAGAGAAAAGGTAAGAGGCAGGTACTACCTGCTTTGGAGGCACCAAGTTGTGACACAGCTGTGACCTGGCTACTTATTCACCAGCAATCTGTGACTCTTCCTGACTGTGTTTATAAACAAAAACTGTGCTGAGATCCTTTCAACAGAAGGTACCTTTCATGATTGTTCAGGTATGAACTGATAATAAGAGTGACCTGAGAGAACATTACATATGTGTTGGCTCTTTAAAAGTATTCCAATACTATCTACTTCATGCTGGTCCTAAACTGTTTTTTCTGGCTTGCTGCCTCTATCGACGTTTTGCCTCAAACTGTGATCCATGAGCAGTGAAAAGCTTTGCACAAGCCTCTTGCAAAGGGTTTGCTCTCAAGTGAGGAGGGAGCTGCCTGTGTGCCACAGTCTGAAAACATACCTCTGAAGTACATCCTGCTGTTCCGAGGGATTATTTGTCTAGCGCTTCCTCTGCTCCACTCAGTTCACCCTGCACTGCTGCTGCTCTCCTCCTTGCTTGCTCACATTTCCTCGAACCGAGCAAGAGCTTCACTCCGAGCTTGCAGCTAGAGCAGCATGTCCGAGCCGATGCCTGCGCTGGAGGGTCTGGCTGGGGCCTGGGCTTTCACCACAGCACAGCTGCACAGCGCTTGTTGGGAAAGAATGCACCCCACTAGGAAGGTCTAAGAAGGTCTGTTCAAACAAATGACAAACTCTATGTTCAAATTTAGCTTCGCTACTGGTTTCAGTGTAGCAAAGGGCAGTATTAAAAGAAATCAAAGCTTCTCAGCGTTTGGCAAGATACCAGAACTGAAAGATGGGGGCTAGGACTCTTCTGGGGTTCTGAAGTGTCACCAACTCACCCCTCAGCGTGTGACTTTGGTTTGAGCAGGTGAGGCCCTGGGGTTTCTCACAGGATGCTGCTGCATACTCTGAACTGCCTTTCCAAGGCACCTGGGGACCTTTGGTAAATGGGCTCTGTGGAGCCAGCACATACTGAGGAGAGCTTTGAAAGTGCTTCATTTCCACCTGAGCCTACCTTGCAGACAGTCAATTTCTTGGAACTTTAAATCAGTAGGTTTTGAAGTTAGAAAAATTGACATCTTCTATTGCTGAGTACAGAGCATGAACAGAACTACTGAAGAACTTTTCAATGGTCCTGTTTCCCTCACCACCTCCAGTGTATAATTCCTCCCTGATGTCTATGTGGTCCCATTTAGTGCTAATGGGGAGAACAGACTCTAATAGCCTGTTCGCTCATGTGTTGCTGTTACACAGCTCTACTCACTTTCAGCATTGCACCTTCACAAAAGACAGAAATCCTAAAGAAGCAACAGCCAGAAGTGGCAAATCCTCCTGCTGCAGTGTTGGCATGCATTACTGGATTCAGCAAGCAGGTTTGGTGTTAATCCTACTGTGCTGGCTTTCAAAACAGACTGCAGCAAAAGAATCTGTTCTTGATCTGTGTTACAGAGGAGAAAACAAAACTCACTCAAACTTCCTGGGATGGCAGAATACCTACCCAGGCTCCATCAGGTCCAAACAGCTCTAAAAAGTTGCCAATAAATTCTCTGGACTTTTCTTCCCATTTCTGAATGAGGTCATGGCTCTTCTCTTCCACCTTGTAAACAAATTCTTTTGATTTTTCCTCCACATTCTTGACTTTTTCTTTCATTTTGTCCACTTGGTTTTGAAAGCGGTATTTCTTCTCCTGTTTTAAAAGTGTGGGCAGAGATTAATATACAGAGACTTGGAAATAATTAGCCATTGACAGTTGAGAAGAAAAAAATTGCATTAATGTATCCTAATACATATGGCCTTGGTTAACTATTCCCATATTATTTTTATAAATGCAAATTTAACATTTGTGGAACGAAGTGCAGAAGGTACATATTGCAAAGACTGTCTTGTGTGATTACTGTGTTTAATTCACTACGTGAATCTTTCCATATTTTCAAACTGAATGCACTTTGAAAATTATATGAATCTTGTGAAGGATACAAGTGAGAAATTAACAGCTCAAACTTAGCAGTAAGCAAAAGGCAAATCTCCCTGGGTTTCCTAGCAAACACAGCCCACTGCTGACTTGCCAGCTTGGATGTTAACTTGAACCAAAATATCTCTTTGGTTGGGTTTCTCCAGTGCAGAAGGAAAACTCATTTCACCTCTGAGCCTGGCTAATACAGGAGCTCCTGGCTGCAATAAAGATGTGTGTAGGCCAGTGGCTTGTGGCCAGCAAACTTTATAGGTAAGAGAACAAACTCCTAACTGCTAAGTCACACAGAAAAGAGAGGGACAGAGAAGATAATGTTAGGGAGCTCCTGTTGGGCCAAGCTTCTAAAATACTTCAGAGTTAAAGGGCTTTTGTCTTGAAACGCTTCTGTGCTCTGCAAATGTACCACCCAGCTAACTAATGCTGGGCCCCTGAAGGTGTAATGGTCTCTGTAGAAGCACAGATCACTAGTGGTTTTTAATTTCCTGGGGACTTAATTTAATGAGCACTTTAATTTACTTTAAAAAAAACAACTGTTTAGTGCTGAGGTGGGTATTATGCTAGCTTCCACAAGGCTGAACAAAATCCTCAATGTCCAAAGAAACCAAACTCACTTTGAACCTAATAGGTGATCAACCCTTCCTTTAACGAGGAAACCAGCCTTGGTGAAATCCTGTGGTTTTTATTTCGAAGCACACAAACTTAGTATTTCTTCATTTAAATTAGTATAAGCTAAATAACCAAATGTAAGGAGAGATTTCAGGATACATCAGTGTCTGAGACTGAGGGAAGCATACCTTATGCAACAGCATCCTAACCTTGGAGCTGCTAAAGGATAAATTTGAGAACCCCCAAGGCATCCAGGCCTTAATTTAATGGATATTTGCACTACGGATCCTTCTGGGAGGAGTACTTACAAGCAGGATTTTTTTAGAGGTGCAGAAGACTGAAAAAAATAAAAGCAGTGAAATAAATATTTTTGCCCTGTGATCTGCAGCCTGATTTATTTGCTAGGCTTCAAAATAAGAAGTAAGCTAAACCCTCGTGAAATGACACAATTCAGTCCTTCGCAATGGGGTTTCCCAGCTCCAGGGAAGAGGTGGGAAGTGCTGCTGTGAGCCAACCCGGTCACAAGGAAGATTTCAGTTATGTGGGTTATCTTGAGGCCGTAAGTTGAGATTTGAAACAGAAAATGAAGGAAAGTAAACTTTCATTTCTGTTAAGTGTTTACTCCTCACTGGAGGATAAGGTGCAGTTCTGTACATGGCAGGTTAATAATTTGAACCATCCTTTCAAATGGCACTCTTGCCCTACCTAATGTGGCTTCTGACCTCTTCAGCATCATTTATGTACCAGCTTCCTAACACACTTCCTTGTCTTTTAAAAACTATTTTAACTTCCTTTTGTAATCTCACTGCTCAGCAGTTGGTTTTGTTTGGTTTTTTTTTTTATCCTGTTGCATTGTAGAGAAGGTTTGGATAACAAAATCTTTGCTCTCTATGCTGCCTTCTCGCACTGGGAATAAAGAAAGAACTCGTGTCTTGGGCAAGTGGCTGAGAAGCCTGCGGTGGCAGATAGGCTCCTTCCTAGTGTGTCATTAAGCCACCAACTGCTCAAGGAGGAAGAAGGAGCAACAGCTTTGTTACAAACATGAAAGCATAAGATGGAAATGAAGTTGCTAATTAATAGCAACAAGTAAAACTACTCTCAGCTTATCAGTTTCTTTTAAGTTCTTTCCAGCTATTTTAAAAGCAGAAGGAGGAAGATAGGCTTTCTTAACCTTTACTGTACATTCATGGTCTTAGGAGAGGGTGTTTCAGAAGCAAATGCAGATTAGTGTACTTACATTTATAAAACTAACATTCAGCTCTTTGGCAGTGTATCCTCGTTGGAGGTTGCGCCGGGCATACACGTCGTAGTCCCGGACAATCCTTGTGATGATATCTGATGTGGAGATACCCTCAGTTCTCTGCGTTGGTACGAACATTCCTGAGCAAAGTGGGAAAAGAAAGCCCTCTGAGAAAGCACGGCAGAACCAGGCACTGCGGCAGATAGCTGAGGATGAACACAAAAATGCCTGACCAAAGGTAAGAGACTTGCAATTCTGCCTGTCCTATTTCTAGTTTCTTACTTTTATTCCCATGTGAGCTTAGGAAAAGCACTATGTTGCTATACCGTTCGTTTTTCCTCAAGTCTTCAGGAAGGCTGACTTGCCCTCTTCGCAATGACAGCTGTGATATTTGACTGGCAGGGGCTCCCAAGCCAGGAAGGCTAAACCTCACAGTTGTGTCAATTCAGTGAGCAGTTATTTCCATAATTGTAGACCTTATTTAATGTTATATAAAGGAGCAGGGGGCTTGGCTTCCTCTCCTGATACTGAAATACAGTTTGCTGCTCTCCTGTGTATTTCCATTCTCCCCTCCACTCCTATGCTGCACCATCTGATGGTCTTTGTCCTGACTAACATGGACCAGCCTCTGGCCTTGGCCAAAGCCAGGAAGCACCTTCAGGTAAAAGATGCGTTACAGTTAACTGGAAAAGACCTGGGAGGTACCAGTAGCTTGTAACAGGAAGGTGAAATGAAAGTGTGAACAAACATGGATGTACCATGGGGACTGAGGGGTCTCCATAGCCCATTTCATGTCCACCTGGACATATCAGTCGGCTGCATAACCACTCTCCCTGCTAGGACAGACCAGTCTCTAAGAAAATTGACCATTTGTTAATACTGCCTGTATTTTCAACTCACCAGAGGTATATATTGTTTTTAATTGCTCCTCATTAAGACAGGATCACTTCAACTGTTAATGCAAGTCACAAAGGCAGTAACAGCAGAGTGTTAGCATATCTTGGCTTAGTAGTTACTTAGAGCTACAAAAAGTTACTACTTTCACTTATATGCAATTGCAACATCAAGTTGCTGATAAGAGTGAGCTGTGAGATAAGATTGGAAATGGTTTTGCAAAAAAAGTAATGCTTTGTCTTAAAAGGGAGCTATAGCTACTAGCAAATTAATCCCTACACATTCACTTTAAGTAGGCAGGCACTGATAGCTAATTTCACAGGGTTAGAAAAAGATCTGGAGAAGGAACCAAGCAGCTTAGCAGCCTCTTGTGACTAAATGCTATGTGATACTTTTTCTTTCTGATCTCTAATTAATACTTTGCTAAAAAAATAGATTATTTTAATCACAAGCAGAGAGGTTTCCCCGATCATGCTTTTCAGGCTTGCAGCAGTCACTCAGGAAACTATTTTTGGCAGCAGTGAAACGCACTTTGAGCCAGAAGCCTTTATAGACAGGAGCTACCAGAATAAATGAACAAAATCCAAACCCTACCCTTGCTAAGACAAAAGCAGAATTGTTTTCAAGTAAATACACAAATCCACATATGAGAACATTACCTTTAGTCACTGATTTTGTTTTCATATGCTTCATGTGTGGACTGATTCATGTTTTCTAAAGTAATTCTTCACAGGTATGCAGAGGTTTAGTTAGCGCACCCTTACCCAGCTCACTGCTGTCCATATGCCCTCCCACTCACTGAAGGGAGTGGGGAAAGAGGAGCCCGTGAGAATCTACAAAAGCTCTACAGTTCCCATCTGCTTATCTGCTCCCCAACAACCTGATGTGGGAAAATGGGAGTACTGGAACTAAGGAAAATGCACAAATGCATCTGCAGCACTGGTCTATTTAAAACAAAACCTTCTAGGAGGAAAGGGAAATTCACTGTTGTAATAATACTGTCTGTAGCACTGGATCTCAAAATGCTTTACAAATAAGGTAACGTAATTCCCAGTTTATATGTAACAAAATTCAGCCATACAAGACTGAAATCACTTTTCCAGCATCTCGCAGTGACAAGACACAGGACGGACCACAAGTCCCTGAAGCTCTAAGTCCATACTCTATTCTGCAAAGTTTGAATTTCTCATCAGGACGTGTGCACGCTGCACCCATGCCCAACAACAGCAGAGAAGGATGTGCCAGGTTTGGGCACTCTCCAGCTCAGTCTGGTAACGATGCAGTGACACCAAGGGCTCCTGTCATGTTGTCCCGTGCACTCAGCACCTTACAGAAGAAAAGCAAAATAGCTGCCTGTCCAGCACATATGCTGTATGTATGTCCCTCGGTGACCTGTCCTTACCAGAGGTACCTTTGTTCCACTGCCTAGTGAAGTAACCTGGTGCTGGCTCTGAAATTGTAGAACAGCAGTTTGCAAAGGAGGGTTGTGAGTCTGACACCACAGTGAGGTTTGCAAGTGAAAAATGATCAAGATCTGCTGCTATAAAAAGCTTATTCTTTCAGCTCAGGTCAATACCTGGTCTACTGCCGTCACTGTATAGTTTGAGAAGGTCACTTTGCACAACAAATCAGATTTGCTCTGGAATTTTTTTAAGCTTCCCATATACATGTTTACGTAGACCAGGAAAAGGATGGATTTGCCAGGGTTTAAAGCAGCACCTCCAGAGAGCAGAAGAAAGGTATGATCAGTTCCTCCTCCCAAATTGTTCAGTGTGGTAGGATTACTGCTGCTGGCAAACAGTGGCTTAACATTATCTTCTCAGATTTAACTCAGCTTCCTTGAACTGAAGAGATACAGACTTCTGATGACTTCAGCATGTTCATGTTCAATGTAATGTGGCAGTCAACCAAACTGCTAAATAGTTACAGCAAATTCATTACTCTGGTACTGATTTAAACCCTCTGCCAGCGTAGTGAAAAGAAGCTCCAGTGCAAATCAGAAGTGGATCCTAATGACTCCTGAAGGCTGCCTCTGCTTGCCCATATTCCAGACTGGGTTGTGTCAGGAAGTAATCAGTTTACGGTTATCAACAAACAACTGAAGGTTGACTGGGCTGTTGTGGGAACTAAACTAATTTTTATCTGTTCAAAGCTCTTAGTCAAGCACCCTAAAATAATTTTTAAAACTCAGATGGGACTCTCTCATGTCAGATCTGAATGGTTATCTGGGGGGTTATGGCAGGAATTCAGCCAATGACATCCTTCGTGGCTTCACAAAGTGAATATTTCTGCTGATGTCAGCAGTACCTACCGTTAGGGTGTAAAAGAACATAAAGTTGTAGTCAAAAGGCAGTAAAAGAATTTGAGATGAGGCTGAAAAGGAAGGTGCTAAAAATGTAAAGTTGCCCTTACCTGCCTCCTTTATGTGTTTGTATACATCATCCGAGCCAGCGGAGGAGTATGGGATGTCATCGTGGGCTACAAAGTCAATCTGCCAGCGAACAGAAGAAACACATGCCACCATCACTGAATTTTGGTTTAGTGGGGGTCATTGTGGAGGATCATCTCTTTTCTCCACTTCAGCTGACTTGCTTTTGACATTCTCATCCTAAAGCCATCACCTAGAATACTGCACTAGATTTAGGCCTACAACTGCAGTGTTGTATGATTATGAAAGAACAGGAAGCTTGTCTCCAGAAGCACTGCCATTAACACATCCTCTGGCTGGCTCTCTGTGATATTCTGTAGAAAACCTGAGACACCCATTCCTGCTTTTATTGCTACTGGAAGAGCAAAATTAAGTGGCAAAGCTTTGGCTTTCAAAACCAGGGAGGGAGGATTATTGATCCTGCCTCCTTAAGGCTGTGCACATACACATGTATACCTAGTACTGTCATGCTGTCCTTTCATCACCCTGTGATGTGGACACTAAAATACATCCTCGTTAATTATATTTTTGTTAAGATTCATATATATTGCAAGACAGTCAACAGCATGTAAGAAATTCTGTCCTGCCTTTTAGAGGACACATGACATTTTAACGTATTTTCTGGCCAGTTGTTGCACACATTGCCATTAATAAGAAATGTGCCTTTAATTCAGGACTTTAAACTACATGGTAACATTCCTGGTTCATGATCTCCTTTCCTGAAAGTCAATTTGTGAATAATTCTTCTGGGTTATTTTCCTGTTAAAAAATCCCACTACAGAAATCATCTCAGTATATTGAGAAAAAAAGGCAAGACAAATAATAACATTTTCAGACAAAGATGGAGGCGAGCAATGCCATGTACCTAATTTCAGTGCCTGGAATTAACAGTTAAATAATCTCCTCCAGCTAATAAGATTTCACAAACTTGCTGTTTACTCTCAACTGCCAATCTACAAAGCAGAAGCGAGGGATAAGGGGAGAAATGTACCTTATGTTTTTCAAGGAACTCGGGTGTCAGTGTCCAGGGTGCATCTCTGATGACCTCATCCACATAACGACAGTGTCTGAGGGCTTCATATCGCTCAGTTTCATTCATCACAGTGAAGCCTTTGAATTTATGAGTTAAATCATCACTGCAAACTAAAATATGGAAGTATCAACAAAATGGCTCCACACTAAGTAGAATTAGCATGACCAGCAGTTTTCTGGTAATTCCACTAAGCACATAGTTACAGCTTAGCTAATTTTGGGGTGCTCCAGGGCATCTAAGAGTTCTGCTCAGGGTTGGCAGGTACAATCATAGACTTCTGAGAGATTTTTCCCTTTCTGGAGCTGCAGTCAGAGTCCATGTGAGATACTGTAGGACACCTCAGGTGGTACGGTATACACATGTTAAGGCAACTCAATCCCACTGTAAGTGGGGATTTAATAGGCTGTGAAATTTCAGGGATGATGGCCACTGCTTTAAAAACAATCAAGAAGTGCAGTGTCAGCAGTCACAGAGTGCTTGCAAACTTTGTGTATCACAAAACAGTCAAGGCAGGAAGACACCACTGGACATCACCAACTCCCCTCCTCACAGCAGGGTCAGCTACAGCAGGTTGCTCAGGGCCATGTCCCATTGAGTTTTCAAAGATGGAGACCCCTCAGCCTCTCTGGGCCTCCTGTTCCTGCTTTTTGTTCTCACGTAAATAATGCTCTAAATGATGAATTCGCTAACAGCAAAGCTCTAAATCACAGCAGAACAGTTTCTCACTAAATAAACATGGATGGAAAACAAGTCATGGCAGATTTTACAGGAATCTGTCTCTGAGTTTAGCTTTGAGTTCAGCAAGTTTCATAGAAAGAGAAGGCTTGTGCCGCGTTCAAATGGGAAATCACAGGAGGAAGCCCCATGGAAAGGACTGGGAGAAGCTGTATGCTCTAGTGGAATGAGCAGAGTTCAAAGTCCAGAAATCCTGCATCTTTAACTCTAGGTGTACCAATACTTTGTCATGATGCTTTTAAAATGAGAGAAGCAACACCCATGTTACCAGAGGACTACAAAAGTTAGGTATTATCTTCCTACAAGCATAACATTGCGTAAAACACAGTACCCTGTCCCCACAACTGTAGCTCTGTCCAGTATTATAGCTATGATAGTCATCTGACACCCCATATGGAATAATGTGATACCCATTTATAGCTGGGTTGACAGTGGCTGTCCTTCACCATAGGTCAAACCCATGCCTTTGGATCTCACTTGTCTGTGACACTGGGACAAATAGTAAATGTACTTTGACAAATGATAAATGCAACGTTATTAGTGCTGCAGGGATGCATGAGAGCAGCCCTACAGCTGCTGCTTCTTTCTAATTTGAAAACATCAACCTATCAGGCAAGGCACTGGCAAAGACACAGTCTTTTTTGAGATCTAAAATGGATGTTCTTGCTGTGATGGTTGTTAAGGACCTTTAAAATAGGAAAAACGTAGGGAGGCTTAGATAGCCCTGGAGTTTGTGCAAAATTCAAAGCCAGATAATATACATACAAATTTCAGCAAGTGAAATGCTACTCTATCCTATTATGTCGTTTTTTGATGCATGCTGACAAGAAACTTAATGGAGATCAAAGCATTTTCAGTAAAAAGATCCCTTCTGAGGTTGTATTTATGTTTATTTACAGACTCTATGTCATCTTAAAGCTACCCTCTCTTGGAAGAAAGGGTCTACTAAAATTATTGGAAAAGAGTAATTTTTGCTCAAACTCTCTACAGAGTTTGAGCAAAAATTACTATTAGAAAGGTTTGATTTTATTTTTTGAATACTGTTTGTTCACGTACAGTGTAGACATAGTATCTCTGTCCTTTTGATTCTGTCATCCTGCTCTAATGACTGATTTGGGAAAGTACAAATGTCTATTAAAAAAAAATAATCTTAGCTCCCAATAATTGTCTACACAACAAGGAATAGAAGGGGTTGGTTGTGGTGCCCACAAAGACTCATGACACCAGTGCTTCTGCTGCACAAATTGTATGTGGGTGTGGAAAGGTGCCCATTTTTTAAACACACTAAGACACAGTGCATTGCTGGGAAAAGGTGCTGATGAGTGCTGGCTGCTTTGTCCTTCACTCCAAAAATAAAGGGAAAGTGAAGCTATGCCATGAATTTCAAAGGAGACAGGCTTTTGCCCCAGAGCTCCTTCCCTGATCTGGGACACACCCCCACTCCTTTAAAAGCAACAACAAAACCTATGTAACTTTCAGATTTTTTAAACCTCAGAGTCTTGCATCTCCACATGCTGCTTCTGCAAGCTACCTGGCTCATCAGGAAAATAAGAAAGTCCCAAATGTTTCCTTCTTAACAAAGGGATGTCTCCTTTCCCTCCCAGGAAGCTCGATGGGAATTGCCACAATTCATAAACTTAAGAGTAAACCCAAAAAGTGTGCTTATAAGGAGATTTTGCTTTTGCTCTATGTTTTTTACCCCCCTTCCAACTGATTTGGGACAAAGACACAAAATAATGAATCTTATAAGGTGTCTGAAGGTCGCATTCACATTCGCTTTATCATCATTGCTGTAAGCGTTTGAGCGGCTGAAGGTTGCTGTGAAATGTTGATGCAAGGCATATCTCAGTGCAGGGAAACTGGAACCAAAATGCATATTTATGAGGCCTCACGAGAGTAGGGCTTGCACAGCCAGCTAGGCAGGAAAGAGCCACCCTCCGGTGACTCCTCAGACATGTACCAACTGCTGAACAGCTGTTAGCCAACCACACAGCAAAAAAAGGACATATTCATAGCAAAAAAACCTGATAAGAAAATAACCTGCCCGGGGACACCTGTGAACTGAAAACTATGTTCAAATCATGGCCCACATTTGGGTCTCCAGTAATAACGGGCTGGATTTAGCTTCTCTACTGATGCTGAGGGCTGGGTCTGCACACACAGTACTGACCTGGCAGTCAGGGGCCGTGGACTGTGCCTGGCTGGCAGAGGGACCGAGGAGCCAGAAATAAATGAGCGGTTGATCTCATTCACTCATCTCCATCTTTGAACAATTTTGAGCGAATAACTGAAAAAGGTAAATTATTCATATGGAGCTATTTTAAGCTCAGAGTCATGCAGGCACCTGCTTTAACTAGAATGGGAATTGTGCCCATGCTGCTGAGGGCAGAATTTGACTTTTACTTTAATTGATGCAATTGTAAGACGTAATTCAAGGCAAATCGCCTATAGAAAGCCCGCAGAGTGAAAGTAGCATTCAAAGTCATAGTGTATAAACAGCTGGGGGTGCGAGCATGGCAATAACTCTGATATTGAGGCACAGAAGCAAACATCCAGTGCAATAAATAACTCTGATCTTACCTCCTACTAATAAGTAGCTATTTGGGAATAGAGTTTTGGCTTGCATAAGAGCTCTAGCATGGCCAGAGTGGAAGAGGTCAAATATCCCATCTGCATACACTCTGACAGGTCTGTCAACTGTGGAGAAAGAAACATGACAGTGATTTTTCAAACCCCAAACAAGTTGCACAATTCTGCTGGACAGGTTTTTGTTCCCAGATCAGATGATTATGGAGATTTACCCCAGTTCTGATGTTCACAAGCACCATGGGTGAACTCAGTGTTTTATCCTGCTCATTACTTGTTCTTCTCTGTACTCTCTGCTGTTTTCTCTCAGACTTAGCCTATTTATTATCATCCATCATCCATGTATTCTAATTTAGCAAAAATGTCATCTTCCTGCCTCATTCAGAGATCCACCATATGTCTTGTTCTTTTTTTCTCTGCCTTTCTAGTCAGTTCTGCCTTATGGATTTTTTCAATTTTTTCCTTATTTTTTCTTATCGTCCTTTTTTTCCTCTTCTCTTGTCTGTGGCTCTCTTTTTTCCATAGCTTATTGCTGTAAAAATGTATTGCTTACCTCTTCCACATAAACCTTTCACTTCCCTTTTTTCATACTTCCTCCAGCTCTTCTCTCTAATAAGCCTATCATTTATTTTTCTCACCATCCTCCTGCTATCACCCTTATAACTCTTGATTTCTGTGTGACATCTTCAGCAGCAGCCTTCCAACAGAAAAAGGACTTGCTTTACCAAAAGACACACCTGACAGCTGTACTACCTCCAAGCAAAAGGACAACAGAGTTGACAGGAACAGAGCTCCAACTTCCATGGACTGTACTTCAGTGCTACAAAGAGATGTCTCTGCTGTCAGGACATCCAAGGGTCCACAGGAGAACACCGTTCCTTGCAGAGCTGACTGGACAGCTGTGGCTTACCCCTATAAAGGGTATGTACTTTAAAAGCTTATTTTAAATAAGTAAAATTAGTAAACAAAGGATTCTTTTTTTTTTTTTAATCACTTGGAATTTAGGGATACAGAGGCAGTACGGGAAGAGAATCCAGGAGATAGCCACTACACAACACAACTTCCAGGCTGGCTGGAGTGGGCTGGCAAGGCTTCCTTCTGACCAACATGCAGATATCCACGAAAATATCAAACTAACTTGAAATGTTTTCTGTTGTTGTTTCTCTAATAGAAGATAATGGTCCTGTAGTTGCTGGTTTCTTCCCTGTTACCTGATAGTACCAGATAACCAAGCTGGCCTTTCTGCTTCCAAGTGGAAGGCACAAGTGAGCACTGACAGATGTCTGTAAGGGAGAGCCTGTGCTCTGTGAGTGCCCATGATCCTGCTGGTGTAGCTCTCCACATACCTGGTGTTCCCAGGCGGGCTTGTGCAATGGTGAGTTTCTCGTGGGGGGCTTGGCACTGACAGCTTGTTTCATCTGCAAACGGAGCAGGTGCCGTCAGAGTCTGAAAGGAGGAAAAAACACGAAGTAAATTTGTTTTCTCCATCAAGTAGCTAAAAAAGAACCATTTAACCGTGGCAGGATACTGTAACCAGGCTTAATGCTGGTTTGTTCTCTAAGGATTTTTTTTTTTCTCCCCTGAGCATACACAATTTACACAAGGTAAAATGATGAGGAAAATAAAGATTTCCAAACATGTAATGCAACCTAATTCTTTGTCTCTGTTGTGAAGCTCAAGCATTTTTGAGGTGGGTGCAGGTACATAATTTTTTTGTTTGCAGAACAAAGTCAGGTCTGATGGCCCAAGCAGTTTAATCCTCGTTTTGGTCTCCATAACTCCAAAGGCCTAAGATGCAAAACGTATTCTGCTACCTGCAAATAATAGCTGGAAAAACTGATTGGGATTTAGAAAGCTGCAAATGAGCCGCTTTTTCACAAGCACCAGTTCCTTCCACTGTTATCAGCACAGGTAACTGGGACTACAAGTTGTTTTGTTGTATCTTTAATCAGAATCTTGTATAATTTTGAAGAGCCATTCAAAATAAAGTCAAGAATGCAATCAGAAGTCCCACCTAACTAGAACTAACTGAGCTGCAACTCCTTTCTCCAGTCTGACACATACTGTAATAGTACTAAAATGCTCTAACTGTGATCAGAGCACCACAAGAGTACTTACTCTGAAGAGCTTATAACCTAAAGATATAAGAGAGAGCAAGCAAAAATGTGTGAAGAATGACGTGGCATTATCTGTCAGGAAACTTGATTACAGAAATTATATTTTCTGCCCATGCCTATGTAGGAAGTTATCAGTGATCAGAACCGTAGATATTTATTATCTGCCATATGGTCTGATATGAAAAAACATGTTTCTACTGCTCTTGGCTTGAAATCTTTACAAAATCTTAGTTGAGTTTTGGTTTTCTTTGGTTTTGTGAGATGAGGTGGTGGTTGAGACAAGCCGAAGGAAATCTATCACTTATTTTGCCTCCACCATTCTTAGCTGAGACCTCGTAGCCTTGAAGCTGTGGCTTGGTTGGGTTTTGACAGTGACCACTTGTGTGATGTACAGCTGTCATACCAATTTGAGCACCCATGGTCAATTATATCAGAATCTCTCTTGCCCTTTACACTTTTTTTCAACTTTTAGATGCTGAATGCTTAATCACTGAGAATTTGTTTTCTTTAGCATCCCTGAGACACTTTAAGATATGTCATTGCTTCTGACCTCTGGGCTCACTGGCTTGTTGCACGGAAAGCTCAGAGGACAGTGGTAAAACAGCAACAAAGAGAGATTCATATCCAACTCTTTCTGCTCATTTAGTATTAATTTTGTTTATCAAAAGCACTAAAATTGTATGTAGATTTATTTGGGTTTCCTTCCATTTTTCTTTCCTTTTTTCTCCCCACAATCTCAAATGTTGCAGGAAATCATCATCATTAGTATCTTAGTGATGAAAGTCACAGCATTTCTGCACAGACAAGGTTAAAAATGGAGAAACTATGACCAAGTCCAAGTTTCTGTCTGGGTTTCATGGATGGAAACTGTTCATTGGGCCACCCACGCTGCACAGTGTACAACATTACACATAATCATACCATGCCAGCTCCTTCCTTTATTTTCTAAATACTGTCTTTTTGCTTCTGGCTTTGCGATCACTGTGTGCTAACCTGTCTTTTTAACTCCACGCAAGGTCAAGTTACACGGCAGTCCATACAGCCTCGTTCCTGCTGGGATAAAAAGGAAGGCAGAAATCTTAAAACAATAATGGCTATGGTCTGAGGCCTACAACTGGTAATCAGATCCTAGCTTGGCAGAGGCTGTTTCCTTGGGGATTATTTGAAGAAAATAGGCTTGGTTTGCAGGAAGATAGCTCTTTTTCCCCCCAGGCAAACAGAGTGGTGCTTTTCATCAATGCAAACACCTTTGCAACACCAAGATTTTTCATTCAGTCTCTGCTCAGTAGACAGCAACCTCTATTAGCTTCCCATCAGTCCAGCTTTTCTATATGTTTATCATTAAAGCTCACTTTACAGCCAAGGGCTTAGAACCAGACCTGTCAATATTCCCATTAATCTGTGACCGACCTCTCAGTCACTGGATATGAAAATACAGTAGATTAAAATCAGCAATATTTTACCAAAACCACACAGAGAAATGCATAAATACCATGTACCAACCAATCAAGGGAAATACAGCAAAAGCTTCCCAATGAGTACCCAATACTATTTTGTTTTATATGGCCTTGAAAAAACATTGCTGAGCTTAAGAAATCATCTTATGAATGCAGTAAGATGAGACCATTTGATTTGTAAATAAGAGCATAAGATAAAATATTCAAGAAATTATTAAAAAACAAATAATTTATCAGACTTATTTCAATTTGTATATTATTGCTTGTATTCTTTCTAGTTTCTTGTCAGTAATAACTAGAATTGGGAAAGAGAGCAAGTAATTTATATAGCAGCTTTTACATTTTGGTTAATCCATTAAAGTACTTTTACAAGTTTGCTATAGTTTTGCCAATAATCAGATAGTTAGATAAAGACCATGCAAATATACTTCTTTCTCTGACAGATTTTTCCCTTCATCTGTGCCTTCATTATGTTCTAGGCATTTACATTTTATGAGTAGTCAAGTAAGTCAATTTAGCCTTGTATTTTGGACCAAGATAAGCTTCCACGATCTGCATCATCCCACAGCAGGTTGCTCTACAGCCTAAGTGTGAGTTCAGGGATGAATTATCTCATTTTGTTTGTTCAGCACCTGCCTCCTCTTTGTATTATTTGTATTATTCTGTACTGGATGCTTCAGTAAGTTCATCTGTAGACACCTATTCCCTGCCTCTCTCTTTTCTTCCCTCAGTCATGTTTTCTAGGCTGAAGAGCTTACCTCATTTATTTGTTTCTTGTGTGGAAGCTGATCCACAACTCTGATTATTTTTGTTGCCCTTCTCTGTTAACTGCAAGGTGGTTTATACAGTGTTCAAACTGATAACTCTTCCAGTCTCTAGAGCTTTAACAGACAGGAACAGAAAATAATTTACATGATGCTCACACTTTACAGTTATCTTTGATGACAGAAGCACCTTACACCTGGTGTCAGCAGGGAGACCTTACTTTGATTTAAGCAGTCCAAATGCCACATTGTTACTCTATTACTATGTGCTGTCTAGAGAGAGCCTATTACATGTCATAAATGGAGAAGCCACTGTAATATTAGGACTTGTGAGTGAATTTACTACAGAAGATATTAAAAAAACTCTTGCAATCCAAGTCCTATTTTCTGGGAATGAAGACACTACATTCAATTATAATTAAATTCACTTCTTAAAAATGAGTGCATGCTAAAACATCATAGCCAGTAACCCTTGCATATCAGAAGCCCTTCATTTCTATGGCAAGTTTAAATAGTATCTTGTGTAAGTTCTCACAAATTTGCAGAGTAACTGAATGATGCTCAGTAAACTTCGGAGCATTAAAAGAGGGAAAGTAGGTAAAGGGGGACTTCCTAGCAAACAACTCATACCTCCATTTGCACTCAGTTGTAACACCTGACTACATTTAATGAGACAGTAGCCCAGAAAGTATAGTATGGTAGGCAGCCCTGAGCTGGTTTGTAGCTGGAATACTTTATGAAGAAACTCTACATGACAGCTAGAAGCAGCTTATTTTCAGGTGTGTCTTGATGCTGCCTTTTTATTACCACTCTTCACAGTCTATCAGGCTGCTATAGCCATTAGCTACATTAGCCATTAGCTGCTAGTCAGCAGATAAACATTTATAGTTTATGTTTCCAATGGATTAAAAGGAAAGTGCTTAGTGAAAGGGAGTCATACCACTGAAATAACAGGTCAAAAGCACAAATACCTCTACACCCTCTCTTTTGTTTACAGCCTGTAATAGGAAATAATTAGTTGTGTTAGTGTTTGCTTGTTTTCTCTATGTTTGGCTGTTGGGTTGGTTCTTTTTACACACCAGCAAGGAAGATGGAAATATTTTTTTAAATGGGCAAATGTACACCCATCTATGCCATAGTGCATCCACCATATAACTCTGCCTGCAGCGTAACTGCATGCAACATGTGCTAATGGAAGGAGCTACTTTTTTTTTTTTAATTTTTTATTTGCATAGCTACACTACCCTCCTCACTACATGACATAGACAAAAATACTGTCCTTTTCGTAGAGAGAATAGTTGTACTGTCATCTAAGATTTTATCATCAGCAAAGGTCTAAGAAAATGTCAGATCTTGAACCTGTATAGCTACACAGGCAAAACTTGGTAGAGAAGGCTGAGCCTGTGCTTATAAAGCAATTAAGCTGGCAGGCAAATTCTATGGGAGGTCTGATGCTGTAATCTCCTTTTATCTCAGCGGCAGAGAACAGATTTTACTGGAACAAATCACATGGGTAAGATCTACTCATATGAGGAGCGATTATTTTGGGAGCCTGCTCCTGATGTTGGCAAACAATAATTACAGGGCAGGAAACAGTGACATCAGTTTTAAGGAACATTTAAGAGAAAACCACTATCAAAACTCTTGAGAAGGAAGTAAAAATACGTGCTGAGTTTCTGAAGTATGAATACCCTTTGCAAGTGGAAAGACCATCTTAAGGACTACCAGGGTCTTCTCTTAGAGGGCCAGGGAGTGAACACTCTGAAAATGAAAATCATGTTGCCCCATGTATTACCTTTAGTAACCTTGGCCCAAACAGGTAAACTTATAAGCAATTCAGTTGTAACTGAATGTTACTGGTGGGTGCCTCCAGGTAAACTTTTCACAAACACTTCCAGTATTAATGCATGTATCAAAAGAAAATCTAGCCTGTTCTCCCACAGTTCTGCTGACTCAGGGACATGGATGTGAACTAAAAATAGAGCAAACTAACCTAATAAGAACAATAACTTAAAAAAGATAAATCTGTTTGCAAGCATTCCAAATTGCCTTGTTCTCAGTTGCTTCTTCTGGGCTTTATCTTCAATCAAATATACTTTGCTCCTCAT